GCTTCCACAACCCAGCAGGGACGTGATTGGCTAGATTTGAATATGACCAATCTTTGGTCTTGATGTGTGTGCCACCTTCTGTCCTGGAATTAAATAAGATCCTAACAACTTAATTAGTAGATACATGCAAGCTCATTAGCATTATCAATAGACTAATATAGAAAAAACTTGGTTCTTTCTAAGTGATGGAAGTCCAGAAAAAAAAAGCCAGAAACCTTAACCACGAGCAGGCTGCATTCAGGGTACTGAGCATAAAAAGAATTTCTTGTCCTAAAAAATCACGAGAATTTTTTGGAGCAACCGAGAAAGCCCAGGAGTGTAGTCCTGATAAATTCTGAGAATTTTTTGGAGCAACAGGGAAATCACTGAAAAAGTTTAAAGGAAACCTTAGAGAACCTTCATTGCAACACTAAGAAAGAACCAAGAAACTAGTGCATTAAGCAAGTTAATATACATTGGTTTTCACCAACAATCTGCATTGTGTAGTTCTTGATGAGGATGTAAAATGTTTGTTTATACTGATGTGAGGGAATCAAGATTTGTTTCTAAATAAACAAAAAAACATAGGAACTTAGAAATAAGGTAAAATGCAGACTGTTGATCTAAATGTGCTTAACATTAATATTAAATATCATTGCTAGTCAAGAAAACTGGAACAAAAAATTGAGAGATTGAAGACAAAATGAAAGTAACACTTTCGAAACTGAAAATATCCCAATTCTAAAACAAACCTAAAATGAAGACCTTCAAATTAAATTTTGCTTAATTCTAAATTCTGATAACATTTTGTTTTCAGTAAGACTGACTCTCAAAAACTTTCCTACAAGCAGGTGGTGTCATATTTTCTGGCTTAAGGCCAAGAACATTTGCATTTATTTAACGAAACTTCTGGTAAGTCTTGAAAGTAATCAATGATGTAGACAAGAAGGTAAAAAAGATGGCATGAACTAACCTTGCTTACAGTTAGAAATGCTGTTTTGCTTGAGATAAGTGAATATTTTTGGCTAGCAATAGTTAAAGTTTGTGCTAATGAGCTTGCAGATCCACTTTACTAAGTGTACATTGAGATTGTTCAATTTATAATTAAAAATTTTCCCTTGCTTATGAAATTAAACAACCACCATCAAGCTGCCAAGCACTTTAAAATGGTGAAGATGGATCTAAAAGGAAATTAGTTTTTAACTACTGACTCCCAAAGAAAATTAAATTTCTCTCCTGCACAAGTTTTAAAAGAGATTGTTAATCAAAAACAAACATTTTATAGTTATTTTAAGAAAGCTACAGTACGTAGTAAGGTTGAGTGGCAGCGTGATGTTGATTGTTGCTCGCAAAGAGTTCATTAGTGAAATATTTTTTACTTTTTATGAAAGAAGTACATTGTACACTAAGATAAGAAGTAATCATTTAACAAGCTATCCTTAGGGCCATGAAGTATTAGATTTTGCTAGTTAAATTCTAAGAGTTCCACCAACTAATTTATATTAATTTTTCTTAGCCTGTGATGAAGCACACCCCAATTTGCAAGAGCTGAACATTGAAAAACTGGACATCCTGCATCCTTCTCATAATTAATTTGCTGTAAGTTACTCAATGTGGTTCTAATTTTTAAGGTTACAGATGGAACCTTAGCATATGACCAATAGGATAGTTACCATAATTTATATTTAGTTCCTAGCAGTTTTTTTTCCTGTAAAGATAAACATAACTTTGCAAATTTTTAAATTTGAGTCTTACCAAAAGAATTGAGACTTACAGGTGGCTGCCAAGATCAGTGCAAAGCCTCACAACAAAATAATTTACTGGACAGGTGTCTTTCTTGTGTTTGCAAATAATGTGAATTTTGATTAATAAACTCTTGAAATTTAGTTCAAAGTGAGTTTGTTGTTAATGACTCCAATCATTGATTCAATTAATCACATCCAGTGTACATCTATGGTGATATTTAGTACCAAAATGTTTGGAGATAATTTTCCTTTCAGAAAAAGCACTTATTTGAATAATGGTGGCACACACACTTATGTAGCATTAGATAATATTATCTGACTCAATGCTAATCCTTGCATTGGTATGCAGTTTGTTCAGTTACTGTAGTCTGTAAAGTATTCAATTTGGTGATTGTGGTACAGAGTTTGTTAGTTGGTAGTTAAGCCTGCAGTGTAGCAGTGTCAATGACAGTATCCTAGGATTCAATTGAAGTGCTGAAGTCAGGTCTAGTTTTTTAGGTTTGTCCAGCTCAGGAATAAATCATTTGTAAACGTGCAAGTAGTTGTTGATGTCAGATGTCAGTTTCAATCCATCCATTGTAAGTCAAGTTTGTGCTGGTTCTGTTTGAAATTAAAGCTCGTTGGTTGGCTTGATGAGGTCGTGAAAAAGTCATTTGTAAGGTGTAAGTAGTCGTTTTTGTCAGAAGTTGTTGCAGTTTGTGCTGGTTCTGTTTGAAGTTACAAAATAATGTTCAGTTTGCTGGTTGCTTTGTTTAGGTCATGAATAAGTAATAAATAAGTAATGAATAAGTAATAAAGGCACAGTATAAGTGTGTAATTGGTGATGTCAGATAAATGTTGTCAGTTTCAATCCATCTGTTGTTAGTCAAGTCTGTGCTGGTTCTGTTTGAAGTTAAAGTTTGTTGGTTGGGTTGTTGAGGTCATAGGTAAGTCATCTGTGAGGTGTAAAGTTGTCAGTATTAGATGTTGTGAAGTGTCACATCATCTAGTGTAAGTCAAGTTTGTGTTGGTCCTGTTTGAAGTTAAAGTTTGTTGGTTTGTTTAGGTCATGAATAAGTCATTTGAAAGGTGTTACATGTAGTAGTTGTTGGTGTCAGATGTTCTCCGTTTCAATCCATCTATTGTTAGTCAAGTTTATGCTGGGTCTTTTTGAAGCGAAAGTTTGTTGATTGGTTTGCTGAGGTCATGAAAAGGTCACCTGTTGTTGGTATCAGTCAAAAGGTGTTTGTTCTACTAAGTTAGTGACTGTATGAAAGGTTTTTCCTCAGTCTTACTTGCTCCAAACCAGTGCAAGCAGTTTACAAAGAATCAACTAGTTACAAGAGTCTAGTTGAAGACTATGTCAAGCTAAAGAAATAACCAGCTAACCTGAACAGGGGTTGTGGAACAACAGCTGGGTGAAAAACCTCCCCGTACGTCCACTTGCTCCTTGGAGGAAAACCCCGGGCCAGCTGTACCCCGCGTTCAAAGGCCTCCCGGGCAGGGCCAACTTATTCTAATTAAATAAAGTACTTATGATACCATTAGCCATCTTGTCAACTTGTCTACTAGGTAGCTTGACTCTTTAAGCATCCTCTTTGGTGCCTGCACTCTTGTCTTTTTCCTGGCCTCTGAGTCTGTGCTGTCCTCTGGTGCTTTCTGTCTCGTCCAACATCCTGTGATGAAACAAGCACAGTGATAGGTTATTTTGGAATCCAAACTGAGATTTAGGGAGCCTGAAAGATGTATTTTTTATCACTTGCAAGGGTTTAGCTGTTGTCTTTCTTAACAGCTATGCTTGGATAACAAGTCATTAAAACATGAATACATGTAAAACTGACTAATGCACACTACACAAACTATATTGTTCACTCCATTGATTTTTCACTCTACTGGTAAAAATCTTTCAAGGATCCTCGAGGATCTTCATGAGGATATTATCAAGGATCAAGATCCTCAGAGATTCTGACGAAGATCTTTAAGGATCTTCATAAACTAAACACCCTGTCTGCAATAGGTGTACTGTATACCCAACAAGCATCCTGAGCTTCCAAATTAAATTAGTTCTCAGGGCAGGATTATTGTTCTTGATTCTCAGAGCTACATTTTGCCCCATAAAAAGAATGAAATCCTACAGATGAATGCTAAACAAATTCTTATTTTTATTTAACATATTGATGCCAGCTTTTTTGTGTGTATGTCCTCTTATTAACGATAAAGTGCATCCTAGTATTGTTACAGTAGCTGACGATCCACTTGGCAGTGCTTGTGGATCCACAGTCTTCTTCAAATGATAACAGTGTGATGAAATTTATCATCAGTGAGAGGATATAAAAAGCAATTTATGACAATTCAATTCTGTTATTTTAGGACATTTTAGATACAGAAAGCCATAATAGAAAGCCAAGATGAATTTGTAGGCAAAAGCCATAATAATCAAGTAAAGATGAATTTGTAGGCAAAACTGCAAGGAAACCACAATTTCTTTTAGCCAAAACAATTCCAAAAATCACGTCATAATTCAAACTACATGAATGACACTTGAGGTGGAATTTCTAGAACTTTAACCTAATTTATTCTGTTCAAAAATTCCTGAAAGCCTGCCACACCAAGTTCAGTCCACTTGCATGAGATCAGTATTTTGAACACAGCATAATATAGAGTCCATTCATCAAATTCCAAATTAAAGTTTAACTAACATGTGCTTTTCTCCTTACAGTAGAACCTGATATGGACTTAAAGTCACCTTAAGCAATTTTGGTAATTTTCTCCCGACCCAATTTAGCCTAAGAGAGAGGGAAACGAAGTGCCCATGCTGAATTCAATATTTTCTCACAAAAACAGCATTCAAAGCCACATGTATAGTGCTCAAACTTAACCAAAAAATTACTATTGAAAACTTTTTATTTGTCAACTGTTGGTCGTGTGACTTGACACTTCCATGGTGACAGGTTATCAAGGATAAAAGAATACTATTTGCATGCAATTGTACTGCTTAAACTTCAATCAGGAAATGACAACATTCAAATAATGTGTTGTAAGAAGTTTCGCAAAAAATTTCAAGAATCGCTTAGCTTGTGAAGGACATCATCAGTGTGACTGTTCTCTTATTTGGGGGGGTCGGGGGGTGAATAGGGGTATGCAAATCTGCCAATCTATGGCTTTTTTTCACCAAATCCGTCGATCTGCAAAACCACATACGGAAACAAAAGTGTTAAAGTTCAAACTAGGTAAACTGGTAAATGTGAATGCCATTCATTTGTTAACTTCACACAAACAGTAAAGAGGGTAACATGCTTGACGACTATGACACAGTACAATTCCAATAACAGTCTCACACCTGAGTTTAAATGAGATTCGTCCAAAAATTGAAATAATTTGGGTGAACTCATTAACATACCGACCAAGGCTGAAGAAAGATCTACCATCCAAATCTCGTTTAGAACCCAAGATCCAAATGTCAAGACAGGCACAATCCAGAATCTGTGCTAAAATTCACAGCTGATCCACGATCCACTGTGTTTTCAAAATCCGCAAATCTGCTCGATTTATCACAAAAATCCACAATCTGTGCGCTTTTGAAGATCGATCCGACAACCAATTCACCCCCCTCCTTATTAGTCAATGAGTATGCAATAAATTTAACGGTAATTCAATTGTAAATAAATCATTTGAATGTTACTGCTTAGTACTTAATTAACAGATATGTTTGTCTTGGTGTGATATTTCAAACACAGTCAAACCTATCGTAGATGTACTGTACGTGACCACCCAAAATGTCAAGTCTACTAGGTGGTTTAGGCGGGGGGGCTCAGACCATATAGGGTCAAAATTGTACCTCATTAGCATATGGTAACTGCAGAAACTTACCCATGTTTTAACTGTTTTAGTCATATCAAAAGTCAATTTGGGGAAAAAATTCTGGTACTTCCCAATGAGAAATTTCCATCTCTTTTTCTACTCAGGAATGTGACAATGCTACAACACTTTATTATCTAATTTTTGCTCTATTATTTGTCAAGTGGTCACTTACCAGAGGTTAAAAGCAAAAGAAAATTTCAAACTTTTACCCTAAAAGTGGTTGTGGTCGCTTATGAGAGCTGTTCGCTTACAAGAGGTTCCAAATATAGTGATTTAACTTGGAAACTTTGGGTATTTTGGAAAACTGGTCACTGAGGAGAGGTGGTCACATACAAGAGGTGGTTGCAATCGGAGGTTCGACTGTGTGTTTCATCAGGAATATTGCTACATACATGCGCAACTCTTGTAATTACATTATGCTATAAACAGGAAATTTTGAATGTCGCAGACATTTTTTTTTCATCATGTCGGTGTAGAGAATATCAAGAGATTATCACAAGGGGGCATTCATATCCCATACTAAGCCTTGAGGTCGATCTTTTCCACCTGTATCTGAAGTTTCTATTTTTTTGGAACACCGTCAAATCCCACTTTGAAGCCCCCCAGTTGTAAGCTTCCCCCCTGGATATAGGCCCTATAAGGTATTGTTCCAGATATAAGTACCCCCCAGATATAAGCCCATCTATTGTTAGATTATGAGCAGTCCCTCTTTCACTTAGTCCGTTGTCCATGACGTGAAAAAAAAACTGCGAGAGAAAAATAGCCGCGAAATCCTGGGGGCTAGGAGCACGCAAAAGGAGGGACTATCGCCTAAGCCAGGGAGTTTGACCTTTCACAGCCATGTGATTTTTCGGTGTAGGATTTCTTATCTTGACGTCCTCTTTTATCACCTGTTGTCAAGAAACCCCAAGAGATATCCTGAATAAAATCACTCTACTCTACTCTTCTCGCTGAGTAGCAAGGCAAAAAGATGCCGTGAGAAGTATATCTTCATTCCGTGTTTGTTTAGCGAAACTGGCAAAGAAGTTTTAAAAAGATGGCAAAGGAGACATCTTGTAATGATTTCTTCTGCGTCTCACTCTGTAGGTGTAAATCTAAAAGTTATTGCAAAAATCTCAAATGCAGAGTTTCAACCAAGAATTTACATTATGTATTTTTTGTTTTCTTTTTCTACATTATTTTTTTACATTATTTGACATAGGAGATCATCCAACTGTGGTGACATGTTTGCTGATAGCAGCGGAAAGTTTCAGGAGAATGTCCAGTTTCAAGTGAAAGTCTGGTTCAATCTTTCAAATGGACAGCAGAAATGCCAAGCTCAGTGAATTCATGTTCTACACTGAATTGTTCTTGGATGATGCTGTTGAGCGGCAAAATCACACGCTCGCATTTGGGTTTGAGGCAGAAAGCTTCACCAAACAAAACAATAATTGGTAAATTAAAATCTTTCCAAAGCCTGTAGGCAGAATTGCAAGAACATCATGGCTAGCAAAGTGCGAAAGACACAAAGATACAGGTAAAGGTTGAACCAGGAGCACAATGCATGATTATGGCAACTCTGTGTAATCTGGGCTCTGATATCCATCTTATGGAGGTTTGTCAGTTTAAACCCTTAATTCCCCATTGGAAAATTTCACTTAGCTTGGTAATTGATTTTTCTTTGAAACTTTTGGGTTTTAAAACTCCCCTTAGCTTCTAATTGGCTTGCATTGCACAAATATCATTTTGTCAGTTGTATAGTATGAATCTGATACATGAAGTTTCTGAAAGTCCCCATTACAGGCTTTCAAAAAGGCGGTACACATCACGAAAACCATGTTTTAAAGTGTTTTGCACCAAAGATTTCCGGTTGAATGGAAAGGCTTGATCCCCTGTCTAATTTTACTTGGAAGTATAACATGCATTATTGATGGCAAGGTGTTCCAAAGTAATGAGAGCTACGAGGAGATTCTCCCAGGTTCACATTGCTTTGCCTTAAATTTCATCAACAATACCTAGTAGCAAAGATAGTGGATCATGTGCATCCGCAGTCGAGTGTCAATTGATAACCTCAATCGAGGGTACCCATCAACACTCGACTGCAGATGCCTTTAGTACACATGATCCACGATTGTTACAAGACAGTGTATTTACCTGGTTGCTCAAGGTCTGAATGTTTTTGGTTTCCACTGTCCAGCCAGAGTTGTCCACTCATGCTCATCCAGTTTTCCACCATGTGTCCAAAATTGTCCACTGTGTATTCGTGTTCGTCCACTGTCCATGTCCATCTAGGTGTATCCAGTGTGCCATCCTGGTTTGTCCACTGTCTGTCCATTCTTGTTCATTGCTGAGTAAGTATTGAGAAATTCAGAAAAGATTCTTGTTGCTGGTGAAACTATCAAGAACTCAGTCCAATGACTATTGTTAAAAAAAACATTTACTGTACAGAGATAATTTATATTTTTTAACAGATAAACCCAACCAAACCAAAAATGCCTATATGCCTATCTCAAATCATTAATAGGAGGAGTGAGTACAGCGTACGGGTGTAGCTGTAATATTCAGTCAGCCTGATAACCACTGAAAACAGATGAGATGTCTTGCATTATTGAGGCACCTTCCAAAATTAACTAGCAACCTCCCTGAAATGGAAGGTGTGTGCCTGGGGTATCTGGGAGCTTCCACTGTGGCCAGCAAGCCCCAGCACCAGTAATGAGGACCAGACAACCCGATAATGGCAAACTCTGAACGGTTTAATGACAAACACTAGAACTACAACACAATTGCAACAAGATGGCAATCCGGAACATGTGAGAGAGACTGAGCAAACGAAATATGCATACCAACAAAAGTTAAGTCAATCGTTAGCTTATTTTAAGACCTTGATGAGGAAAAGACTCTTAATGGATAGCTAACTGAATTTATCTAGTATGGAATACTTTAAATCTTCTAATTCTTTAGCTTCTATTAGATTTTAATTTCTTAGTGCATTCTAAATTTAATTCACATAGAATTAATTTTATTGTATTTTATTGTTGTTTGTTACATATTTCACTGAAAAGCCCCTTGGGGATGTGGGATAAATGTATGTATGTATGTAACTAACAATGCCCGCTGACGCAACCTCTTCTTCTTTAAAAATAAAAATAGAACTACCATGGTCTAAGCCTAACAAAGAATGAGGTTAGAAATAACAGGGAGTTCGTTAACAGTTCTATGATAAACAAAAGGTTTCTGAAACGAATGTTTGGATAAGGGGACAGTCTTGCAACTTCCAAAAATCATGCTAAATGTAAGTAAGTTAGTCCAGTATGTATTCCTGCAAATTACGCTGGGGGTCTCTCAAAGGCTAAAGCAGGACCCCTGTCCCACTTTAAAGGGTTGAAATGGGGATATTTGGTTTTTGAAAGAAAGAGCCTGGAGCCAAGAGAGTTGCCACGGCAATGTCTCTACAGGTGTCATTTTGTTTCTTTTGTGATGTACATTTCTGGTGCCAAAGATTTTTCATTTCATAGTCACTTTAAGAAGTTAGACTTTCACTTCATTTTCTGTCAAAACCAAGTCATTTTATCTGTCAAAATCTATTATTATTTTGTCCTTTTTTTTCTGCAAGGTTTGTGTAATTGGAAAAAAAAAATTAAAAACTGAACATAAAGTTGGAAAGATACATGTAGATATTTTAAATGCACCACACTTTTTCATTACTATGTTGTTCTAGACAATAATCATCAGCTCACTTTTCTGAGCATCTATCATCCATACTAAACAGTGCATGCATGGAAACCTTTGAGTATTAAACCTTTTCCTTGATATCTTTATTTTTACAAACTGATTTTCTATCCAGGCTTTAAGCCAGGTGGCTGTCCGGCATCCTGGGGATGGCCACTTTTCAAAAGAAAATAAATAAATAGAGCAGAGATGTTGTTGATTTGCAGTCAGTAATTTCATAATAGTTCAAACAAATCACTTGATTTCTACAGTGATTCTGGAAATGCTTTTGAACACACCATCTCATCTTATTTCTACTTTAGTTTCCTTTGGTTACTTCATAGGTGAATACCGGACACTCTTTTCCCATTTACATGAATTTCACCGAAAGGAATTTTGTGTAACCAGCAAGAAGCATTCCTCCTGGTGAGCCCTTGTTGGTGACTACATGAAGTATTAATTTGTGAACCAGCACAAGTCGTTTATCATTCAAGTCCAGTCAATACATTTATCAGCTGAAAACCATGGAAAACACACCTTAGACGCTTCAATTTTTCTAAATATTCTAAGGGGGCATGTCACAAGACCCCACCCACCTAGCGGGATGGGACCCATATTTGCTAGTGGACGGCCACTCGCAGAATCCTGGCTAAAAGCATGTTTCTATCTCTCACCCAGGCACTATCGCACCCTACTTTGAAATGCATTAAAAGTACTTTACAATGATGACGTGGTATTGTGATAAAAATAAAGGCTTCCACGGTTTCTGGCACCATCTTGATTGACTGGAGTGGAAATTCAATAAAACACAAACATGCAATCTTTTCCTCTTATGCTCTATACCAAATGTCATGAATTACAAAGAGATAGTGTCAGTGAGTTCAAAATTAAAAGTTTCTACTTGACAACATGCAATGATCTTTCAAAAATTGTTTGTGCTCAGTTGTCAATGTAAAAATTAGGGGAACTCTGGAAAATTTGTTTGGGAAAGGGATTCACCCCCCCCCCCCCCCTGGAAAAAATTGCCTGTATGCCTATGTTGAGGATGATTAACATTTGAAAGTTTTAATGACTAACAAGTTAAAGGACCGAGCAAAAGATTTTATCAATGACATTTGGAGGACACAGCTGTGCCCAGAGGCAAGGAATCACAATTTAAGTTTTCAATGCAAATGTCTCTAAATTTTCCCACAAACCGCAGTTCTATGTTATGAAGGGAAAAGGGAAAAGAAGTGAAAAAACAATTGTGGCTGTGATAAATTACAATTTGCAGCTAGACATGAGAAATTGGCTTCCCAGATGTGAGATTCGCACAAATGCAAAGCCGTAAGCTATTAAGGTCTGGGAGGAAGGGAGAGTTTAAGTACGTTTTAACATCTTAGGTGTTGTCTAAAATCAGCACTTCAGGGGTTCAAAATTTCCTTTCACCAGCTTCTAACTCAAACAAACTGTAGCTTACTGATATTTTTCCTCAAAACAAAGGGCAAGTGTGCGGGTGTGGACAAAACATGGGGTAGGCTATGGCCTACGCCAATGGCCTAGGTTATGGTGTAGGCCATGGCCTACCCTGTGGCCTACCTATGGCCTACCGGTGGTCAGAGTTTTAAAAAAATTAACAAAACATCAGTAAGAGTCAAATGAGTAAGGTGGCATAAGATTATATCCCTCGTGGTTTCTTGTATCCCTCTGATAGGGGTATACGAAAAAGTCACTGACTGACACTAACAGTTACTAACGCCATTCATCACATGTTTACACTAGCACTCCACTCTATGTTACAAACTGGCAGCAGGTATGGATTGTGAGGCTGCCATTCTGGATATTCCCAGGGACCATGTAACATCCGCTCTTTCCCCGCGGGGGGGTGGGGAGGGAATCCCATATACAAATGACGGGGGTGCTTGACATACCTTATAAGGACCAAAAACGCAGTTTTGGTACCTCTTAGGGTGTTTAGCCTCAAAAGGTCCACAGCGGGAGCTTTTGCAAAATATGAAAGGAGATCACGTCTTAGGTAAAAATTGGTACCTCTTAGGGGAGAAAAAGATTTCAAACCACGCCCGCAAAACAGGATCTTGGTACCTCTTAAGGGTTCTTTCCAAAATTCCCACCAGCACCCCAGTCTTCGTTATATGGGAGTTTCCCTGGGCCCTTCCCCTCCCTATTAACCTGCCGTTATGGTTGATTGTTTGGCCTGACTGGAGAAGCTAGATGTCGAAGACAGCGAGAAATAGGACCTTTCAAGGCTGAGTGCTGTAAGGTTTGCATTGTTCGGTACCTCTCATGTTGAGAATCGTGTTACTGACTTTTTAGTATACCCCTCTCAGAGGGATATAATTTTATGCCAGCTAACTCGTTCAACTCTTACTGATCAATGTTTTGTGAATTTTGTTAAAAATTTGACCACCGGTAGGCTATAGGGTGGGTCACAGGGTAGGCCATGGCCTACACCATGGCCTAGGTTATGGCCTACCCCACGTTTTGTCCACACCCCACGTGTGCGATACATGAAAGAATTTGAATTTCCCGCTTTATGTGAGACACTTAAATTTCGGACATTTAAACTTATCTAATGGCAAGAACGAGACGACGACTGAGCGTAAAAACCAATATTCGTAAATAAAAGTATTTGAGTTAAAGCTTAAGCTTACCCTAGCAGTTTAGCATTTCAGCTTCCTATCCGGCTGTTGTTCATTTGCGAAGGTCAGTCAACGTGGTCCCCATTTTATGTGTTTTGTAGCCTGCTGAAGGCATAATTCTTGCATTGAGGTACAAATACACAACAGAAAATACGTTATGAAAGGCTAAAAATACCAAAGGTAGTCTCTTCATCGATTGTTTGGCGAAAAAATAAGATTTTAACCGGCTCGAAGCTTCGGCAGCCATGTTGTGTTTCTCTTTCGTTCCCAGTCTCTCTTGCGTCAAGGAAACGCGGGAAAGACAGGGGCCGATAAGGGGCGCTTTCCATTCGCCAAAAATTTCCAAAATTTTCGAAACGGGGTCAAATGGTACGGGAATTTCCTGGGAAAAGTTCCAGAAAATCCGGAAATTGTTTAATTTCCGAAAAGCAAACCATTCAACCGAAAATTCTGGAAATTCCGAGATGAAAATCAAATGGACTCTTTTCTCTCGAGCTGTTTGAAAAAAAAAACATCAACTTCGTGCAAATTCTCTTTGTTACTTGGTGGCCTGACGCTTCCCATAAGGCATAATATGATACTCTATGGCAATTGTAACTCCAAAAAGAGAGTTGAAGCTAAGGACCACTGACCGCGCGCTGAGCGTGGTTTGTGAGTTTCACATGGTGAATGGCGGATTAGGACACGAGTTACAGAATAATAAAAAAAAGTACTTTGTAATAAAAGTTTCATTTCTTTTAGGGGAAGCAGAAATCGTAAACAGCCCGTTTGGGTTGTTCGTTCAACATTTCATAATGAGAAATTGTAATGTAATATCTAAGCTGGCTTATTAGACTTATTACTTTTTTTGATGTCATCCGCCTTCCTCGGTTAGCTTGTATAAACAATGACACGCTGTAGCCGTGAAGTCTGTAATTGCCTTTACAGGTAAACGCCATGCAGTCCACGGACGTTTCTAAATGATACGGCTCCAGTTTAGGACCTCAATACCCTGCTCTTTTGGACAGTTCGGCACAGAATGATTTTTATAATGAATATTGCTGCTAGGGAAGTGTGATTAGCTGTCTCGAAAATATTAGAACTTATCCCCAACAAGATAACAAGGTTTATACTACCACACTGTTAATTATATTATTTCTCGACCCCATCATCTTTTTACTCTAATTTTAATTAAGTTGTACAAAGTGGCGAATGAGGATAGTGATTGTTTTCTGGAGTCTTCGTACTGAAAACTGGGTTTGATATCCTTCTTTATTTTTATGCTATACACGTTTCTCATATCTCCTTAATGACTGGTCACAAAGATATCAAAGCAATATTGTAATTCGTGTCGAGTGTTCATAGTTGTACATCTGGTCTCGATAGTTAGTTGATAAGACAACGGTCAAAGTGTTAGCTAGCAAATTTCTGGGAAAATTGTAGTTTTAAATGGTAAGAATATTATATTCCCAGTTTTAGAAATTACCATAATTATCATTCCTTCTACGACCGCCTACTGGGAACAGTAATGAGTGTAGGCATTATTAGGTTTTAATCATGCTTTCTATTTGGTCACTCTTCGAGACAGCTGTTGATTTTAGCAGGGAATGTGAAAGACCAAGGGAGATCCAGATTGAGTCTAAAATGAAAAGCCATCAAACAATACCTTGCCGTCATGGTTTGCCGGGATGTGGCTTTTCAATATAACTTCTAGTTTTGCCAATTGTTGTCTGAATTTCGACACAATGAACATTTTAAGATTATCATTCATTCTCTTTGTGGCTTTTCTAAGGACATACTGACTTTTCCAAGTAACTTAATGAGATCAAATTTAGACTCTTAATTATATTTGTTGTCCGTTGGACCATCCATGGGGAGATCAAGACAGTTTCAATCCAGTTTCTTGCCCGTCGGTTCTTTTGTTTATTCGCAAAAGAAAATTATTTTACTGTATACATTGTTATAACTCCTAAATTCATTTTGAGTAGAAACCAAGAATTAATGCTCTAGTTGTTTTAATTTCCGTAGTACTAAAATTGCATCTTACATAACTTGGTTTTAATGCATACTAGATTGATTCCATAGCATAACATTTGCACCAGTTGGTCGAAATACCGTTTGATTTTTGATTCAAGATTAATTTATTTCAAGTCATTTCCGTCGGTTCACAAGCAGAGTAAAACTGAGCGAATAATTAGCGACAAAAACACGAGGATGACTCCATGTTCTGTCCGAACAACTGAAACGATTTTCCGGCGCGAAGAATTCACTCTTGAATACCCAATTCCAAACCCTAAATCTACGGGTATCTAATTAACTTGAGCTTAAAAATTTAAAAATGACACGTAGTAATGAAACTACAGTTCACACCACATTCACAGTAGTACTATATGAGCTTTGTTCAAAAACTAATGGAAAAGGTATTAATTGATTGAAAGGAGACCAATAATATTGCATGGTATGATAAACCATCCTAGAGCAGAGTAAAACTCTGTCGAAAACCGGCACCCCATGATGGAACAAAAAAAGAAGCATAGTTAACTTCCCCATTCCTTTATTTTTTTAACACAAGTTTCATTTATTTGATTTGTGACGAAGCACAAAAATTGAATAGTGTTTTAAGTGTAGAAACAACACATTATTTTTAATTACAATGTTCAGTATTAAACTTCAATTCCAGTCGATCGAGGAAATTAAACTGACGTTTGTTTTGACAGTTCTCATGGGATAAAAACTCGGCTCCGTTAGAATTTTTATCAACACTTTACAGTTTAGCTTGGCCATCAGGAAGATCGACCCGCTTAAGAAGAAGAGCGAACTCGCCATAAACCTCACCTAAAATGAAAACTAAAGTAATGCTGCTTTTTGCACTCTTACTTCTTGCTAGCTCTTTTGTAACAGAAAGCGATGCCTTCACAGCGGGAGGAGGGGGAAATCTTCCCGGCGGATTCAGAAAGCGTGAAAAGGAAGTGAGTTGCTGTTTCAGAATATATTGTTTAAGGCACTGAAAAAATTCCTTCACTACTGAAGTCAGTTCCTATTACCGGAGCTACTCAATGCTCCTGTTTTGTACTCTTCAGCTAAAGTATATCGTCAATGTCACTTGGACGTTGAGTTTAAACGGGTTGGTATTGCATGTTCTTTCGCAGTTTTATGATTTGCACACCACACGAAGACGGATTTAAGGGTCAGATATTTTGCTGTATTTCATGATCAAATCGATGCGAAAATTATATTTGACTAATTAGCGAATCGTAACTTGTTAAGAGAGAGGAAAGTGCAACAAGAGTTACGCGATTTCACCGCGCGGAGACACAAGGGCAGAGCTTGAAAAAGTTTGCCTGATTTTTCTTATTTCGAGATCGAAATCTTGTGAATGCATAAGTCATTTGTTACTCCAACCTTGAATAGCTTTCTTTCAGCGTACTGTTAATTACGTACTATACTGTAAACTAAACTAGGCCATTGTTTAGGTTTCCAATTATGGCAGTACGTAACGATTTAACTGAAAAACCAGGGCAGAGTTTGCAGTTTGCCCGATCTTTTTTAATTCTGAGATCAAAATCTTGACCTCGTATAATTCATACGGCATCCTTGAATGGCTTCAGTGTACTGTCACGGTATAGTTATGTTCAGGTTTGTATTTATGTTAATACGTCTTTTAGCAACTAACTTTTCGAGGTCATGCTTATGTAATTCATGACAGTTGATCAATATACTTCATGTACAGCCTCACAGACAATCTCTTCTATTTCAGCACCAACTGGCCGGGAGGGCCTTGTGCTCAGCAGCCAGAGAACACTGCAGGCGGGAAATCATATTGAATGACACTGAATGAGTTCTGCCCTTCATTAGGCTGACCCGAGCCAGGGCACTGTTACTTGCACACGGAGAACAACTCTGAATTATCCTTATCATTACAATGTAGATTGATCAACTAATAAAAATTGATGTAACTTCTGGAAGTGAGCTCTAGAGTTCTGTCATGTTGTTTGATATGTTAAGGTAAAAAACCTCGAGATATTTCGCAATGGCTATGTTAGGCAAAGGGAAAGTTAAATGTGTGAAATGGCAATATGCACAATTCTGTTGATAATAGAAATCGTTAAGGGAGCTCAGTCACGGTATTTTGAGTTATTTTGGCCACATACAAAATTACCTTTAAATGGTAGGAAACCTGAAAATAACAGTTTAACAAGATAGAAAAACACCAAAGAGATAATAAAAACCATAAAGGAACAAGGATGGCTAAGGATGGAGAAGATTAACACGGATTACAAACGACGAATTTGAAACATTGAGGCTAAACTTTTCAATATGCGCAAACCGTGACATAGCTTAAGAACAAGATAATAACAGTGCCGGCCCTTTCTATAGGAAGGAGCGATTGAGACGATGTTTGTCCATGGCAGGTTACTCCCGAAAGCATTGATCAGTTTGCTTTACATCTCACTGATGGATTACCCATTTATGCACCTGATGAGTGTAGAGAGGAACTATGGAGTTAAGATGTGTTGCCCAAGATACCACGTGGGTAACACAATCATTTCTTCCCAATATATAGTAGGCGTCGAAGGAAGGGGAAAAAATTTGGAGAGGAAAGAAATGGAACGAAGCTCCTTCTTCATTTTCTCCTTCCCAACCCTTTTCAAATCCATGCGTAAGCTACCGAGCGCTGGATCAAGAATCCAACATAACATGAGGCCACCACACCTCCCAAATAAACTAATAGCGGAGCTCCAGCTACCTGAAGGGGTGCCAAGCGGAGCACCACACTCATAGGAGCCCGTACATTGGCTGGCGGTATTGCTCGTGGGTGCGTACGCACGACAATGACGACAGCGGAGTCGCGCAACATGGCGGCCATACCTCAGCTAATAGGTTGAACGAGACTTGCAGCCTTGTTTCACGGCATTGGACATCGATGATATGAATTGACACCTGTCAAAACAAGGTATTTGCTTACCAGTATCACATGATCATATCGCTTGCTCTAGCTTAGAGTTCATCGAGGTCACATGTTTTTCCGAAGTTGACCGCTGCCCAGGAACTGGTTTTCGATTGGAACGCAGGCTCAAACCAGGTTAACTTACTGTAATCAAGAGCTCTGTTTTTAGGCTTGGCTAAGTGATGAAATAAATTCTAAAGTTTCAGTGAAAAAAGAGCAGCTGATTTCAAAATTATAAACAAGACTAATCAAACCTTGGATGCAAAATGTGCTTTATGCACAATAGATTCATTTTCTTCTGTACTAAATTTCGCAATTTCCAGTTTAATAGCAGTCCATGAAAAACTCTCCGTTTCATGTCATTCAAACATGTTGCGGTCAATGGTATTACACTGACTTGCCACGAAGAATGAAACGTTTACATTTATCAGAGCAAAGTGGATTTAAATGTGTTTGTAGAAGTGTGCTGCAATAACTGAACTCCAAGGTGATCCAGAAGCCCTCGGTTTATTGTGTACAGAACCGGCGTGATATGTTGCGTGACAAGCACACAAATGTGTTAGGTAACCTAACAAGCGAGATCTGGTCATGCTGTTTTAACAAATCCTCCGAATCTCCACCGAGTGATAACCTCACTATACCAAATAAGTCATGTACTCTCCCTAACTCTAGCCCCAATTAACAAATGATTTGGGCTGGTTACTGGACTAAGAAACAAGCAAAAACAAGAAATTATGCAAGGGCAATTTATTGGAAACTGGACTAAATGCAACGAAATCGCTTCATGGAAGCAATCATTTACATAAACAGTGAAGGTTACATAAGAAGAACATGGCTTGAAATTTCAAAATGTTTTGTACTATGAGCTCAACGTACGAATGTAATGACCAAGCCTTCACCACAAATGTAAATAAGTAGAGCGGTTACACTTATCGGATGTCAAACAGCACTACAGTTTACAGTTTACACATAATTCTTATCAAACAGTTGTCGAAGTCAGTGTGAAAACCTTTTTTAAAAGTAGGTTAAAAAAGACTTCAACGTTCTTTAGCCCGAAATCAAATCAGTGATAGCTCTCTAAGTACTGGGCACAAAACTGAAACCAATCAAAGTTCTACCTGCACTTGCCAGCATATTACAGGTGTGGACTTTGATCTGTAATGACTTCCATTAGTTTAGTGGCAGAAGCGCGCCAGATAGAATTTAGTCTTGTAATAGTAAACAGGAAACCGCTCCACTATTAAATTTGAATTTTTTATTCTAGACGAAGGTGCTTTAGTTCTCCTTAGATTAATGTTGATTTTATACGAAACAATAATCCAGAAAGGATTTCAGCTAGCGAGTTATCTTTGCTCACTCTGTCGAGACTAAAGCGATAATAGAAACTTATAAGGGGAAAAAGAGCAACTTAGCTTCAACATATAAATATTTACAAGCAACTGATTTACTTATTTATTCCTATACAACAATTCTCTTATCTTTCGTGAATACGCTTTCCGTATTAAAACGTCTATCGCAGGAAGCAGTTCACGGCATTTTTGTGAAACAAAGTTTCAATAAATATTCTACTCTTCCAAGAAACTTGTCCAGATCTGATCCTTCCTCGTCTCTTGTCACTAAAAGCTCTGAAGGATTCTGAAATTTAAGGAGAGTATGTCTTAGCACTGACAGGAATTTCGATTGAGAAGATATATCAAACGCGTAGCGGAGTATTTTTGACGAACTTCGAGGTGTTTGGAAATGTGGTCAAACACGGTCTTTCGTGTTTGATATGTTACTTCTCTGTCGAAACTAAACTAAGGAGAAAACGGACAACGCCCTTCCCCCCCCCCCCGATTTCCTTCATTTAAACTTGATGAATTATTAATGAGTTTGAGAAGCTACGTTTTGATTACCCGTGTGATAGCGAGTTCGCCGACTTACCTGTACTTTTCATGCAGGTAAAGGCTCTTTTGCCGGTCTTATAACTTGTATGTTTCCGTTATTCATCACAGCAGCTATCTCGCTTACTGGCGATTGATGTGTTTGTCTTAACATCTAAGGATAAAAGTTCATAAACACAATCAGCGTTTCAATAAATGACCATAGACCTTTCCCGTATTCCAAGAAACAATGGCGCCAAGTCGAGGTCAGGGTGGACAAAAATACAGTAAATGTATGAAAATGTCCACCCCAACCTCGCTCTGGTGCTATTGTTCGTACGCACTGAAGTGGAATGCAGGAAAGGTCTGTTACCTTGACCATTCACCAAATTCTCACAGCTAACACTAAGAGAAATATACTGAGAGAGAACCCAATAGGTAAAGAGAATTCATATTTCGGTACAGGAAAGTTGCACAGAATCAACTGAGTTCTATGCTGAATTCTCACCTGTGGCCCAAAAGACGGTTTTCCTTTTTTCTCTCTGTATATTAAGTAGCCTACAAATGCTCCCATGGCAACGGCAAAGGTGCCGAACACCACTCCTAGAGCTATAATGCCATCTCGACTAACACTCGCTGTTTTCGATGGCTCTGTTGAAGTAGATTCCTTGACACTGTAATGAGAGAAAGACAAACAGATCAGTTTAAAAACTGAAACACGGATTTATCTTATTATAGGAAATTAACGCTCGTGTTAATTAACGTATTTGAAATTAACGCGAGTTAAATTAACGCGAAATGAAGATAAATTTGCTTCCCAATAAAGGAAATTAACGCGAGAGAGGACGCAAAATTTCAAAATGAGGGAAATTAACGCGTCTGCTACACCAAAAAAAAAAACACAGAATTTGTTGAGAACAGAAACCTATTTATTTCAACACTGTAAAGCTGACAGCGAACACGAACAAAATTCAGTTGAAGTACAGCAAACGATTTACTTATGTGAAAGATTGATGTGAAATGTAAAGTGGGCGAATAAAATTTATTGTTTGGCTGTGTCAAGTATGTCTGGAGTGTGTCACAGATTTGGGGGAAAAAATGGTAATTAACGTTGCGGAAATTAACACGCAACTTAATTAACAGCGCGGAAATTAACATTAACATAAATTAACGCGAATTTCAAAAATTCGCATTAATTTCATAAAGCGTTAATGCCATGATTAACCGACTGGCGACTGACTGCCAAATCATAACTTAGTCAAATGTGAAAAGAATGCTTCCCAAATAAACATTCCACAGGGTATTTTCATGTGAAAAAGGCTCAATTTAAAGACGTTTCCAAATAACACAAGCATACAAACGTTTGCAAAAACATTACATTCCTGTTACTGTTGATTGCATCGTTTCAAGACGGTTTCCACAGTCCTCCTTTAGGACTTAGCAAGAAAACTAACTGTTTCATGCTCTTGTAAGATGTGGCGTAATTTTGTTTTAATCTGTGAACTTCTACATGCCAGTTTGGCAAAGATGTCCTATCAAGAACAGACTTACAACTATCAACGTAGGCCAACGTTCTTTACATTAAACGTTCTGTATTTTAAGAGTGAAAGGACTTGGTTCACGATCTGTCAAAGACCGAAAGCAAGTGTCAGTGAGTTACCTAGGTTGGTGATGATCAAGCGGAGTATTGAGGCTCCCCCCGGGCCACACGATCTTTTTCTTTATACTGAGTCCTTGATCCGGGGAGGGATCGTACGAACCAACTTTCGTCCACAGATCTCCGCTTAAATTCACCACATCGTAAATGGCAGGAGCATCCTGACTGGAATCAAAGAACTGTTTGCCGCCGGTTGAGCTCTCAAATCCCGTGCTCGTATCTTTCATTTTACGCAATTCTGCCACGAGTTCCTTCTGTACGTCTGAACGGGAAGTGTACTGCAAAGTGGAAACGGGCGAGTCACTTAATGGTGGAACATAGGTATGCAATGCGTACAAAATAGTATGCACCCGGAGGGTTTCAGAAGATCAACATTATCAATCGAGCATTTCTCCACAAACACATCGAGAGTTATTACATCCATTTCTCTCCATAGCTGAATGTTATCATGTTTAGCAACCTCCGCGAGATGAATTAACTGTTGAGCACTTGTTTCCTACAGAAAATCCTTCTAAGCTCTACGCCCGTCGCAATGAACAATGTCCAAGGATGATTCTCTCACCTTGTCTATAGTTCCTGCTTCATGTAGTCTTGTTAGAGCATGCGCATAAGCAAGAACTGCATCATAGACCTGTGCCACATAAGCTGAAGCCTGTAAAACGAGGGTAAAAGGACTTAATGACTGAAGAGAACATTACTATGGTAAAGAAACAAACCTTTGTTATGCTGTTGGACAGAAACGTGTATGAGGCATGTGCTAATGTATTTGAAGAAGCTAGAAAAGAAGCACTTGGTTACCTCTTTGATGCAATGGGAAGATTTTAAATCTGTTGTAACTTCTGTTTACAGTTTTTGTTTCTTAACTTCTAATGTCCCAAATTAGCGAAGCAGTGGTAAATAATTTTTTCAAAAGGAAACTTTCCTACGTTAGGAAACCTTGTACACATAGTCCACCTTCTATACATAGACTAAGAGCAAATAAGAGAGCGTGACCGCAAAACCAACAAAGTGTACTGAAAACTAACCTGCAGCACCCGCGGAGAGTGAATGAGACCTGGGTACAAGTCTGCATCTTTCTCTTTCCAGGTCTTAAGCAGTTTTTGGTACAGAGCTCCTTCACCGTGTTTGGGCCTGGTGCCTACCATGCCCTGCATGGCAAGTTGTAGATTGGGAGAGTCAACATATGTTGAAGTCGTGGCACCGTCGGTTCCAATCCACGTCCATCCTTTACCGGTCATGCCCTGGAAACAAGAGCCGGATAATATGAGCGACTGAATGCACCCGTAATTGTGGATACGAAAGGAAGAAGGTACTAAGAACAGAGATCGAGATATCTGCTGTTACATCTGTGTAATAAAAAAGGCGACGGCCGCCCTTAATTAGCAGCAATTGTGTCATGCGTTCTGTAAGACGTAAATTTACGGTAAAAGATGGGTATTTTTTGTTACCTGTTCTATTGCTTCCTGAAAGACTTTCTCCGCGTCATCGGTCGAGGTGCTGACCAGGTTTATTGCTGACCCAGCTTCCTTCATCTGTGAAAAACAAAATTTATGTTTTAGTTAAGCTGGCTAACAGACACTGACAAAATCGCTCCTCGGTGTAGAGACCGCGAGGAGAGTTTAGGAGCGCGAGGCAAACGCACGACGCAAAACCTCAATGACGGAAAGTCCTCGGTTCGTCAAATGCAATAAATAATAATGCATAAATAAATAAATAAATAAATAAATTACCTGAGAAAACCCCCTACCTCTTTAAGATGTTCCTTTATACTCGCTTTGGTGTGCGCTTCAAACCGCTGCTCAGTAGTAATGTCGACTCCTAACTGCCTCACTTCCACGGCAAACTTACGTGCAAGTTCCTCACTGTACGGGTCAATCGTGGTGATGGTTGACACCTGTGTCCACTTGTATCTCTGAACTAGCTTAGCGAGCGCTTTGCCCTGGTACACATCAGAGGCGCATGTGCGAAAGAAGTTCGGATAGGTTTGCTTGTCGGACAACTGCGCAGACGTTGAAGCGTACGACATTTGAGGGATTTTCCTGTCTTTGGTGGCCGCAGCGATGGCGATAGAGCACTCCGATCTAGCTTCTCCGATGATGAGGTCTATGTCGTGTGGAAGGTTCTGAAGGACAACGAGCTGTTTGTTAGTTTTAATGCTCAATGAGGGAGCTTGGATTACAACAGGGCGCCCATTCATCAGGAGTTCTGAGCTTCCACACACGAGAGTGGTTTAGGATTTTGCGAGAAATCTTGAAACGTTCACAGTACATTGTACAAGACTGTAATTTGCAGTAGGTTAAATTCGTATCAAAAATTAAAGAAAAATCTCCGATAATGGGCTAGAGAGCAAGGGTTCAACAAGAAAAAAAGGCTTAAATTCGTTTTTGGGACAGATGAACTATTCTCCTACCTGAGCTTCACGCCGGCAGGATTTCGAATCTTCGCCTCCATCAACAAGAACGTAACTAAAGGCCACCTTAAAAGGTCCCGTATTGACAAGATCCACAGCAATCCTGAACGCTGCCTGCCACTCTAGTCCCAGGTCTCGTAGCGACCCCAGATCTTCATGAGTGGGAAAGAAAGCCGCGATCTTGTATGTTCGTCGACCTTTGCCTAGAATCATAGTCCCGCCGCCGGAGAACACAGGGTCTCTTCTTAGAGTGATTTCCTTGCTCTTAGAGTCGTACTGACCGAATGTGATCCAGTTGTTACCCTGAGGAATTAAGAATTTTTTCCTGTTAGAAAACATTTGTGGGAACTTACTTTGTACGCAACTTAGGGTCAATCAAATGTACATAGAATTGACTAAGTCAACGAAATGTTTTCGTTAGAAATGCTTACGATTTTTTTCAATATTGACAAAGAACAATAAGTGAGCTAGTGCCCACGACTATATAAGGTACTTCTAGCTGCTGTCTCTACACGAACCTGCTAGGAAGATCGAGTTTACGTAAATCAAAGTTATTTACATATCAAAGGTTTAACCCGTTTTGAGAAAAGGCCTACGATAGCAGAGATTTCGTTCTTTTAGCCCTGCACAACAACTCATGTAGAATGAGCGACCTAATCTTCAAAGACAAGACGCTTTGATCGAGACTTAAATCTCCCAATTAGAATAGCACCAGTGTGTAGAAAACGTAAGCAGAGTAGCGATGTTGATGCACTTACCTTCAGGTTAACAACATCGTAAAGGGGAGGAGGATCTTGATTTTGATTGAAGAACATAACGTTGCCGGTACCAGTCGCGCTCGGAAAGCCTGTGCTGGGGTCATCGAATGTCCTAAGTTTCTGGTAAAGATTGTCTCGCACGGTTTGTACATCTGATGTTCGGCTGATAACCTTTTTATTGACTAGGTCTGACAAAGCCAAGGCGACGCCATGCACTGCGTCAAACAGTTGAGCGGTGAATGCCGCCGAGGTAGGAGTCTGGGGAAAATAAGAAAGACCATCAGTGGAAATACACACCTTTCAACTGTACGTACTTTCATATGGTGCTGTATGTAACACTGTACAAAGTGGTTCAAACTCATATGAAAGCTATTGAGCAGTGCTTTCATGCGGTACAGATTATTAGGCGGTATACGGATGTTCGCCTCTGAATTCGCGTCTGAGTGTAGCCCCAGTGTGAGACCATTCAAATAAAACCTACCAAGCAGGAGTCGTATAAGGTGCTCCTTTGTTCCCTTCCCTGACAAAAGAGATTTAGGATTTTTTGAAATTATTTTTGCAATTCGGAAAGGACATACAAAAATTTCTCTGGGAATTTTTTCGTAATAAATCAGCGAAAACTTTGTCCGTAGGCAGAACAGTGGAATCTGCACCACAAAGGACGAGAGTGGGTGGCTTAAGTTAACTTGAGAAGAAAGGCTATACTGAATGCAGGAATCCTTACAACCAGCAAAAGAAGAGAACATTACTCACCGGCTTGCTATGTACAATCCCAGGGTAGGTTGTGGAGTCCTTCTTTAACCAAGCCGCCAGGAACTTCAAATAAATACTGCCCTCTCCGTTCTTAGGCTGTGTTCCTATCATACCTTCCATAGTGCGTTCCAGGTCCCTCTGCTGATTGAACGTGGACGAGGTAGCACCGTCGGTCCCAATCCACACCCAACCTTTTCCCGTCATGCCTAGTTCCTTGATTTGTTGGAAGACTGTCTCTGCGTCTTGGCGGACCATGCTGATCAAGTGGACTTTACAGCCAGATGATTTCAACTGGAAAACGGCAAGACACTGGGTAAGTATAGGTATTAATCGACGCAATCGCAACTCTTCGGTCGCTGGAGGAGCTGTTAAAAGTTTCTTGTTTGGTTAAAAACAACAACAACAACAACAACAACAACTGAACCACAGACAGGCGAAGAAAATCAACTCTGCTCCCTTAGTTAGTGACTGTTATATCACGAACTGATTTTAAGTCATTTTGTGCGACGCACGAATTGGCTTCAAATTGAACTAAACTCGAAATAATAGCTGCTTGAGGTAGAGACATACTAAGTGGGCATCAGTAAACCAGAATAAAAGAAAGAGGATGATCAGATATGGAGAAGATAAGAGGGATTGGAAAAAACGAGCTTGAAACCAATTACCTTTTGTATCTTTGGTCTGACGGTCGCTGCTCGCGCATTTACGTCAAAGCGTTGTCTGCTGACCACACTGACTGGCACATCAGCCATACCGGTGACTTCCTTCTCAAACATGTCAGCAAGTTCTTTGCCATAAATATCATTTGTAGCCACCGTGCCAACTTCCGGGAGCAGGTACATCCGGAAGAGTGCAGCGAGTACAGCAGCTTGGTGCACATCTGAAGGACATGTTCTGAAAAAATATTTGTACTTCGCTTTGTCCGAGAGGATGGCAGATGTTGAGCCGTAGGAGATTTGTGGAATTCTGTTTTTAGCGGAACCTGACAGAGAAGCCAAGAGAAGAAAGTTTTATAAGAATGCATCGGTAAAAAGAAATTTCTTCTGGAAAAATAAATTCACAGGAGGACATCAAACGCTGAGAAAATTGCACTATACAGTAGGAAGTTAGGGGAGAAATAATATAAATAAAACTTCAACTCGGCTTCTGAATACAAAAGAAACATTAATTTCTAAATGAAACAAATCAGTCACATCTTGTGTTAATTCGGAATTTCTTCTTGTTCCAAACGGTCAAGGATTGAAATCCAGTCTAATCATGCATAATCTTAGCCATCCGTCGAACTTTACACTGCAGACATTGATTACTGTGTCCGTAGCGTAGCTATTATAGCAATTACCATGAGGTACCTTGCAGTTCGACGATAGATTAGGACAGTGCTATCGAGCTGCAGGTCTAAGTGAACTGAACATTTTGCCAGCTCAAATTAGGAACACTAAACAAACTCACCTAAAACACCAGCAGCGGCCTGGGAACAGGATGACCGATAAGCTCCAATAACCGCAACCACATCATCTTTCGCTAGCTCCTCGGCGGCCAGTTTACACGACGCATTGGAGTCGACACCGCCGTCTTGAATTCTGATGTCGAAATCCACCGCTAACGTCAGATCTTTGTTCATCATTTCCACAGCAACGCGAAACGCGGATTCAAATTCCTTGCCGAGCTCAGAGAGACCTGCCAAGTCCGGGTGCATCGGAGCGATGAAACCGATTCTAAAGGTTGTTTTACCAGGGAGTCCCTTGTCCGTGGGGGGTATCTTTGTGTTGCCCGGCCAAATGATGTCAATACTCCCTCGTTCGATGCCAATGGTCTTGTTCCACTTGCCGACTTTTTTCCAAAATTTTCCCTAATAATAGTTATCATAATGATGTTAGTGGTTGTTCTGCTTTTAAGTACAGAGGGTAAACATGAAAAGAACAGGAGGATGTATTCGCAACACAAACACTACATCTTCAACTGCCTTATTTTTACTCTCTGCCTTGAAGGGCAGATTTCCTATCTACGCATAATGGAACTCTAATAAGTAAGCAAAAGAAGGTTAAAGGGGATTATCTGAAAAATCCAGTTGTAAAAAAATCTTACCTGGAGATTTCCGACGTCATATCCTGGAGACTCAAAATAGGTGGGACCTACGAGAAGAAGAATTAAAGAAACAAGATTTTAAGACGTATCACATACTAACTAGAGGCCCATTGCACTATGTTTTAGTTCCCTTGCATAAATTCTCCCAACTAATTTATTAAAAAGGTGTTTTAACTTCAACGTTAAATTTTAGTTTAAGATTTTAAGATGTGACAAAAATTCAAAGCTTTATCAAACACCTTGGACTTCTTTATACATTGTGTTCTATTTAGTCTTACCTTGGGCCCCTACAAATCCAGCATTTTTGTCACTGAATTTCTTCAACTCGTCAAAAACCAATTTTCTTAATTTGGAAGGAGAGTCACTCTGAAAAGAAGAAAACGTCGTTAATTAGACTGCGGGAACAATCACATTGTTTTCTCTAGCGTGAATATCTTTGCGGGTTGACGTTCCCGCTAAAATTTGACTATTTGAAGGCATAGTTCGTCCATCTGATGTACACGATTGTTCGCTTGATTAACCATAGAAGAGTGAAAATTATTACCGATAATATTCTGCCCTGTCTTGCCAATCTGTCAAAAGCCAAATAATAAGCATACACAGCATCGTAGACTTGTGGGACATAAGCAGAGGTTGACGGTAACTACATGGTAAGACAAGAAGACAAAACAGACATCAGTTGGCTCAACAGACACATTTGTAAGAGATACAAAAGCAAAGTAGCCTTAAGTTTATCGCGAGTTCGCTTGTATGGAATCGAAAAAAAAAACTTACGTGATCATAAATAATTCCTGGATATTGGTCCATAATGCCTTTCTTGGACAGCCACTTTACTATAATATTGAGATTCCTTCGACCAAAGCCTCCTAAAAAGAGAATCGCAAAGAAATGTTGCAAATATTATTCATTTTCTGTTTTTTCGAAGAAATGGTCAGAAGAAAGCTAGGAAAGAACACCAGGAAAGCCGCTAATTTCAGTGGAAATAACAGATTTTTTCTCCCTCATTTTTTGACCAAAATAGCCTGTGGCGCAGTATTTGCGATTTAGAGTCACGTACCTTTGGGCATGGTTCCCACAGTTCCTTGCATGGCTCCCGTGGCTTTGCTCTCATTGGTGGGCGGAGTGGCCATAACCCCATCACTTCCCAGCCACACCCATCCCTCACCAGTCATACCCTGTCAGACAGGATAAACCAAATGTCAGTGCGTGTGCAAGAGAATTCGATACAATGAGAGATGACTAGTAGCTGGGGATGTTTGGGTAGGGACTGCCACTTCAGAACATGTATTATGGTATTATGGGAATTTATTATGGGACCTTCTTGTGCAAATGATAACGAAAAGAAAACACAAAACCAAGAGGAAAGAGGAAACTGTGTCTAGCGTCACTGGAATAGCTGTAAGTTACAGGTTTTAACAAATCCCATTACCTTTGCTTTTGCCGTTTTGAAGATAGCCCGAGCATCTTGGGGCAAACCAAAAACAAGGTTCACTCTTGTTTGAGCGTCTTTTATCTACAACAAGGACATAGACCGGAGGAGAAAACGTTTAAATCACACGAATCGTTCAGTTAGTAAGCACAACTGTGGTGTCAGCCAATAAACTAAACTTGGTCAGGAGAAATACTCCACTGCAGTCTCCTTGCTCATTTTAAAGGCATTCGTTAGCGCATCGAGCCTTTATTTACATCTTCTTAGTTAAATAACGAAAAAAACACCAAGAAAGTAATAATTAAGTAATTTAGGGCGAAGCTGGCCGAGGCTGAAATTTAGGAAAGATGTACACGTATGACAGTTAAGAAAGCTTCCAGGCACATTTTTCCAAGCCGCAACATTCGCAATATTCGCGCGCTAAAGCATTTTCCTCCACACGATTTTATTATCTTCCACTAATCCTTCTAATTAGGAAGCTACGGTTAACGGATCCTGTTCCCAGGTCAACGAGTTAACAATTCCCAGCACAACCGATCAAATAAGAACAGGGTCATAAATTTTAATGACCTATACCACATCATACGAAACTGGCAGGGGAGGGGAGACTCGGGGTCAAGTGTGGTCAGAATAGAAATCACGTGCTAAAAGTGTCTTACAAGTTGGTGATTTCAGACTTAAGTGGATTAGAAAGAAATGGTGCACGTTTCAAACTCTCGCCGGGAAAGACAAATACGGAGTATCCTTTCTGAAGGGAAACAAAGTTCGTCATTGGCACCGTCATGTCTCATTCGAGACGCCTCTTCGTTTTCCCACTGTTGCTAATTTTAGCAATTGTTAAATTAAGACTCGTTTATAAGCGATGATGATGCAATTTTAAAGTCATTAGAAACATTTAAGGTGGTAACAAGACGTTTCGAAAAGTAAACCGACTCTTAAGCAAACATCGATTACAAAGCAAAACATTCAGTATTTGAAGTGACAACTTTCACAAACCGTGCCGCCTTTACTAAATAGACGCCAATGCTTCAAATGCCACTATAATGCATGTTTTAAGTCACTAACTGTCGATTAGTAATGTAAACATAGCGCCAAAAATACCAAGACAGAACAACGCTTACCAACTGCACTTTGTTGTCGACCACCTCAGGGCTTGCCATGCTTGACAATCGCGAAGAAGCGTGAATTCGAATTCCTTGAAACCGTGCTGCTGTTTCAAAACTGTCGGCAAGGTTTTTAGCGTAGCCGTCAGAAGTAGCTATAGTGCTGACCTGTATCAAGGGGTAAAGAAAGGGAGGAAGGAAATTAGAGAATGTCTGCAATTCTATACAATATAGAACCCTATTCTTTTTCTGAAAGGGTAACAAAACGTGAGGGTGTGTACGACTGCATCTTACACGATATTGTCCAAAACGATGGAGAAAACTCCTCTACTTCTTGAAAAACTGTTGTTTAAGTTGTAGAACCAAAATATACTGCTTTGATTAATGTTGAGAAGTTGGTGAGGAGTGGAGTCATCTATTCAGCCCGACTTTGTGTAAAATAAAACAGCTACGCTTGGGATTTATGGTCTTACGTAATGATAAGCCAGGTTTTTGGGTGCCAGGTTTGAGCAAAAGGAAAAATCTATCTGAATCTAATGAGCATACTATAAACATATTCGTTCGTGTACGTCTGACTCAGTTTAAGGAGAAGAGAGAAAGGTTTATACTGGATCTTAGTCGAACCTTTTAATATCTCTTAATGATATCTGCCTATCGACTTCTACTTTAAGAGCTATAAGCAAGTGAGCTTGAAACCAATACCCTCAGCAGCATCCTTCTAAACACTGACAGCTAAGTACTTACTCTTCTCCAGTTGAAATATGTCACCAACTCGGCCAAGGCTTCAGCTTGATTCACATCACTAGCGCACGTCCTGAAGAACCGAGGATACTTCTTCTTGTTGGACAGCTCTGCCGCAGTTGACGCATATGATATCTGGGTCATGAAAGGCACTAAAAGAGAATAACAACAAAGGATGATGATCAAACTATCGTTGCCCTTGTAGCTATAAATCTGCTTTACCATATTGACGTTCCCTCATTTGTCAAAGTGGCTAAGTCATAAATCCTCACTTTAAACACCCGTTTAAAAAGGTCAACGTTAAATATGTCAGCGCTGCCAAAAACATGTATAAGTTTTCAAAATCTCGACACTTTTATGTCGACACATGTTTCTCTACAAGATCCTACTGATTTTCGCTGTTGGTCGGTACATAAATACGAGTCACATTCGGTGAAAAGGCTACTCTGCAGTTTTATTATGCTGCAGCCAGTTTCAGTATGTTGTCTTTAAAGAAATGTTTATCACCGGTTCGAAATTCCAGACGAACAGGTCCACATGAGCTTCACACGCCAAAAATTAACAATCACTGAATGAATAACATTTGTTCAGCTTTGGTTAATTCTCATGATACGTTTGATCCTTTCTTTAAGACAGAAGAATGCCTTATTAATACAAAGTTCTTCCTTTACTCCTCAATATGAATATATTACCATCGAGGTTTTCATTCTGTGTTAAAAAGGTAAAGCTATACATTTTGCTGCGGTCTGAATTGGTGTGTGTATAGTGTGCATAGTAAACGCGTTGGGGAAAGACTAAATAAACTCAATGAAACATGGTGTTTGCAAGAGATATTTCTTATTTTCATTGCTTGAATTTTAACTACATTTTACATCTCTTTACACGAATAATGCTATACACATAGTAGACTAACTAGCTTGATCCGAGACAATTTGTTCCTCAGTCGTCCTTCCGAAGTCAAGAGCCATGATAGGCGAACAATAAAACGAAAGGGAACAAACCCAACTACAAGAACAGTGATTGAGTTTGATACGGTTTACGGACCTTTACGCGTACCAACTACTGAACAAGTCCATAAACTAAACCTTGAACTTCCAAGACGGTGTTTATCTCCCAAGACGATACTTAGCTTACCATTGTCTCTAAAGTATTGATGAGATGCTTTGGAACAAGAAGAACGCATCGCTCCCACTACTCCAACAATATCCGAGTCAGCTGCGAGCTGCTGAGCTGCGATTTTACAGCTGGTGGAAGGGTTTGTACCGCCATCTTTGATCATGCCTACAAAGGATTGTCCATGAAGTTCATAAAATTTGATTTACATCTGAAATGTTCGTCAAAATTGACAGTACTCTTTAGAGCTACAGTTATCAAACATTTATCTTAGCACATTTGATTGTATGACATGAATTAGATAACAGCGGTTTGCCTAAACCAGTTTGCGTAATCTGCTTGCCTGCGTTTTATCTGACTCTTAAATGCTAGCAACACACGAGTAGGAAAATTAGCAGCAAAATTGGTGTACTTTAACTTAGTTGTAATCTCCCTAACTGTCATAGACTAGACCTACTTTGATGGCCAATCTGTGAACCAAATTATGGTTATCTCTTACTGTAGTACTGCAGGTTTAATTTGCGATGAAAATATGTCGAAAAAATTCGTTAACTTAAAGCGCAGTAATGACAGGACCCTTGCCAATTTTTCTGCTTCATGTTTAGTAGAAAACTAGATTAATTATTGGGTTGTTTAATCTGGTTATTGCTGTGTTAATTTTTTATCCCATCCACGTTCACAATTTGTCACATGTTATTGTGTGTGTGTCTTGCTGTAACACGGATGAGATTTTCTCGTAGCATGGCAAGAGTGACTTTTGCTTTGCCTCTAACTTAACAATTCAATCTGGAGACATTTCAGAATATTCGGACTTGCAATCGCCCAAATACGTTAGTATTGATTACAAAGAAGGAAAAACCACTCTCCAAAGATGTGAGAAACGCCGCCAATTCTGGGAGTGTAAACACCAACGGGAAGGGACAAATTCAATTGTTTCTTGGTTTAATCCGAACCCCATACCGGTTTTGTGAGTACCTTAAGCCAATTTACCATCAGTGATTAAATAAAACCTCACTTTTGAAATCCATGGAGAACTTGATTTGACTGCCAGCCTTGGCAGCATCTTCATTGATGAGCTCTACGGCGAGTTTGAACGCCGAACTCTGAAAGAACAACGTGAAAAAGCACACTGAGCAAGATTAACAAGAAAGTGGCTAGACATTACGCGGTTTCGAGAAAGAGGACACGAGGAACTTACCAATTCTTGTCCTAGGGATGCTGTGGCTCCTAGAGACTTGTCTAAGGCGCCGATGAAGCCAAGTTTGATTGTTATGTTATTGGCTTCGGCAGGTTCTGGAAACAAAATGGACACCAAAGAATGGTTGGCGTTAAAGAAGTGCCCGAGATCTTCAAGGCCTGCTTTCAGGTAAGGGAAAAGTAAAGCTTTTGAAACTGGATTTAGAAGTAGAACGAGGAAAATAAGACTTAACACGGGAGCGTTCATGACAAAATGCGACAGAAACAATAAGTAAGGTAAGACTTAGGCTTGTCTAGGCTATCACGTTTCAATTTAGCCAAACAGTCAAGATCGTTCTAGGCGCCTCCAGATCCAGCAAAATGATCTGACAGTGTAACAGCCCGACTTTAAAATAACAACATCAACAATTTTAAGATACTAGAGGAGAAATCTTTAAACTTTGATTTCCTGAGGTATTTCCGAACTGTTATCTCAATGTCCAAAAATCCATCCACTGTTTAAACACTTCCTAAGTGAAATTCGAAAGCCGTTCTTGTCTGGATCGCTGGCATCTTTGTTTTTTGGGCATTCTGGTAGCTATTAACTGATACTGAAACAAGTAGTAGCTATTAGTGAAACCATCGAGTAGACTCGAAACTCTTGCTCTAAAAGAACAAGTCTGTGACGTGAGGAAATTCTTTACAGGTCAAATCTGCCTTGTGATTCACTGCCAAGGAATTTACCTTCCCTTGACTACAGCTTTGAGGTAGTAGCAGCAAAACATAGCGACTTTGCAATGTGATTCTCGGTAAAATCAAATACGTTTGGATTATTTAAGCCCCTAAGTCAACGTTTCATAGCAGTGACACTTTGGACCTTGGCAAGTTCAGGAGCCACCCAACATGGGAAGCATATAATGAGCTTAACAGAGTCACCTATGAAGAGGCAACTCTCAATGTTGAATCCTAAGAAACACAGCCGAGGAAGATCACTATCAGTGCCATTGCATTGAATCTTGTTCAACACCTATTTAAAGGACTCTACAGGCGCTAGGCACTGCAAGAACCCAATTCCTTCCATGTGTCTCTACGCTTGTCCCAGATGATTAATTACCCATTGTGTGCAGTCGACACGCAATGGAGTCACCTTTCCAGGGTCTATTCCTTTGCGCCTCACTTACCAATACAAATTGCTGTTAGAGCATATAGAAAAAGAGAAACCACCGCATGGAACATTTCGTGAAATTTAGCCGCTTAGCAAGAAGTGCTTGTTGCCGCTTCACTCTTCACACTTTGTCAAAATGAGAAGGCCTTTTGCACCAGTATGGTCAACCCGCCTATTTTATGGCGTCAAACGGTTGCGCGCGCGGATATCCGCATCCTCCAACACACACCGCATACATTGCGACGCATTCTTTCCACGAACTATTTTTTCAAGTTTAACAATCAGGAATTTTTAGCCTCCAATAAGAAGGTTAATCGACATAATGACCTACTCGTTCCCAAACTCACATTTTATCTCTGTGATCGATGATGCAGCAGGGAAAATGTACAGTGTTTTCAACAACGTCTTGACACTTTTGTAAATTGAACAAACTAAGCAGACAGTTATGACACAAATTTCACAAAAACTTCAAAATAAACAAAGGAGAAGAGGAGGAGCTATTTTGTACTGTAAAAACATTGCGTAAATAAGCCGGTCACCAAGGAAAAAAAGTTCGTTAAAAATTAGTTCAAAAAATAGAAAAGCAGCTCAGTGAAATAATCTTCAGTTTAATTCGAGTAAATAAGATGATGAAGAACAAAATTTTTTCGTTCAACGCACACGTGGTCAAATTTGGAAAAAGTTCAAAGTCGTCCAAACTATATTTACAATATGAAGTATCTCTTTGAGAAATTCAAGGGCCTGTTTAAGGGATTTTTTTTTTGTTTCAAATGGGTATTAATCCACTGTAGTATTTAAAGTCGTGATTACACGTTCTCCGACTCATTGCACCTGAGAGATAAATCTTATACTCCTCTTCAGTTTGTCCAATGGCATGCAAAGGAAACTTGATACGGGCATGATAGCGTGCTGCTAAATAGACAGAAACAATCTGTACTAATCGGCCACTGACTGGAGCATTTCCTGATTAAAATAAACCTGATGGAAAATACGACAGATTGTGGATCATGATTGTCATATACATTGTCAATTTGAATTCAACCAAACAGGCGGTGCTCTGTGATAAGTGGATCCATTCCAAGGTATTCCTAGAATTCGTAGATTCTGAGATAAGATAATGAGATTGTGGTGTACTTTGTCACCGGAGAAAATAAATCTGCGAGAGGGTATTAAAAATACAAGAAACAAAATTAAACATAAGGATTAAAAAATTTTTTTTAAAACAAAATGACAAGTGTAGTCTGGAAAAATAATTCAATAAAAACGCATTGCGTTAGAGTCTGTGACATTTTTAAATCCTTTCTCCAGTTACCACACAATCAGGGTTCAAAAGCAAGACTGTAAAATGACACCACGCTACAAGATGGCAACAGATCATTAATCATTATTGTTTGTCGGGTATAACAACTGATGAAATCCTGCTAACAAGGTTTTGATCGAGAACTTTTAACTCACTTTTGGCCTGCATCAGTTTGAGGAACTTTTTGGTGCTGCGAGAAAACATTTGCATCGCATGTTGGTAACAGATGCCTGCAGGAACGAACAAGTGAAGACAAAGGAATGGCAACGCCCAAGAAACAGAGACTCTTTCTTCTGTTTCTTCGATCCTTTGCGTGGCACCATGTAATTTAGGGTGAGCGCTGCTTTTCCATAACGCTGTTTCAATTTATATCTTCTGAAATCTCAAATATTACAAAAACGAAGGAACACAACATATCAAAAAGCATGTATAATTTGCTAGTTGATTCATCAAACCGAACGAAACTTTGCCTCATATGATTACTTCGTCTCGCTTGCTAGATCACAGTACCGTCGTTCGCATCCTGTGTTTTATGCGTCGACGTTTGCTAGAAGCAATTCAATTTGACAACGGACTGTTAATCTAAACTTTTAACATTTGATTGCTTATTGATCACGCCTAATCCAGGCTACTGGAGTATGTTTTTACAACGATTAAACCAGACACAAGGCATAAGATAGTAGATACAGAAAGGAATGTCTACAAGATTCGTGTGTTGCAGTCATCCATTTGAGAATGACAATGGTGACAAAGGTAGATAATGTAATGTTTGAATGAAACACGGGATTTAAGCTTAAATCTGAAGCAAAATCACTTCTACAGTGCAGTATTTTAATCTGTCTTTTTGTTGTTTCAAAGCGATTCGAATACAATGTTAGTTTTCAGTGTTGGTAACTGAGGGATATGAAATGTCTGAACTGACTCACTCGGCTTNAATGACCTACTCGTTCCCAAACTCACATTTTATCTCTGTGATCGATGATGCAGCAGGGAAAATGTACAGTGTTTTCAACAACGTCTTGACACTTTTGTAAATTGAACAAACTAAGCAGACAGTTATGACACAAATTTTACAAAAACTTCAAAATAAACAAAGGAGAAGAGGAGGAGCTATTTTGTACTGTAAAAACATTGCGTAAATAGGCCGGTCACCAAGGAAAAAAAAGTTCGTTAAAAATTAGTTCAAAAAATAGAAAAGCAGCTCAGTGAAATAATCTTCAGTTTAATTCGAGTAAATAAGATGATGAAGAACAAAATTTTTTCGTTCAACGCACACGTGGTCAAATTTGGAAAAAGTTCAAAGTCGTCCAAACTATATTTACAATATGAAGTATCTCTTTGAGAAATTCAAGGGCCTGTTTAAGGGATTTTTTTTTTGTTTCAAATGGGTATTAATCCACTGTAGTATTTAAAGTCGTGATTACACGTTCTCCGACTCATTGCACCTGAGAGATAAATCTTATACTCCTCTTCAGTTTGTCCAATGGCATGCAAAGGAAACTTGATACGGGCATGATAGCGTGCTGCTAAATAGACAGAAACAATCTGTACTAATCGGCCACTGACTGGAGCATTTCCTGATTAAAATAAACCTGATGGAAAATACGACAGATTGTGGATCATGATTGTCATATACATTGTCAATTTGAATTCAACCAAACAGGCGGTGCTCTGTGATAAGTGGATCCATTCCAAGGTATTCCTAGAATTCGTAGATTCTGAGATAAGATAATGAGATTGTGGTGTACTTTGTCACCGGAGAAAATAAATCTGCGAGAGGGTATTAAAAATACAAGAAACAAAATTAAACATAAGGATTAAAAAATTTTTTTTAAAACAAAATGACAAGTGTAGTCTGGAAAAATAATTCAATAAAAACGCATTGCGTTAGAGTCTGTGACATTTTTAAATCCTTTCTCCAGTTACCACACAATCAGGGTTCAAAAGCAAGACTGTAAAATGACACCACGCTACAAGATGGCAACAGATCATTAATCATTATTGTTTGTCGGGTATAACAACTGATGAAATCCTGCTAACAAGGTTTTGATCGAGAACTTTTAACTCACTTTTGGCCTGCATCAGTTTGAGGAACTTTTTGGTGCTGCGAGAAAACATTTGCATCGCATGTTGGTAACAGATGCCTGCAGGAACGAACAAGTGAAGACAAAGGAATGGCAACGCCCAAGAAACAGAGACTCTTTCTTCTGTTTCTTCGATCCTTTGCGTGGCACCATGTAATTTAGGGTGAGCGCTGCTTTTCCATAACGCTGTTTCAATTTATATCTTCTGAAATCTCAAATATTACAAAAACGAAGGAACACAACATATCAAAAAGCATGTATAATTTGCTAGTTGATTCATCAAACCGAACGAAACTTTGCCTCATATGATTACTTCGTCTCGCTTGCTAGATCACAGTACCGTCGTTCGCATCCTGTGTTTTATGCGTCGACGTTTGCTAGAAGCAATTCAATTTGACAACGGACTGTTAATCTAAACTTTTAACATTTGATTGCTTATTGATCACGCCTAATCCAGGCTACTGGAGTATGTTTTTACAACGATTAAACCAGACACAAGGCATAAGATAGTAGATACAGAAAGGAATGTCTACAAGATTCGTGTGTTGCAGTCATCCATTTGAGAATG